AATCTGATTATCCTGTAGTTCACAGAAAAGTATTCATAAACCGACGACCGTAGTGGTAGATTAAAGCCAATAATACAAACAACTTCAACTTAGTAATAAAACAAAAGAAAAGTCAGTGAAGTAAGAGAACTTCCTGTGGCAACAAGGAAATTAATACAAAAATAAGCTTTTTTTGTAAAAGAAGATGCACAAAAATTTTAGTTTTTTGAGGCGTTGAAATAAAACGGAATAGTCTCAGATAATATTTAAGAAAAAAATCTATGTATAAAAAGAAGTCTTATCTCCTCTGGTTCCAGTCGGGAAAACAGAGGATTAGTGATCTTCAATGTTAGAGTCGTGGGTGAAAATTTTAATTTTTTTTGAAATTTGTTGTGTCTTCGTCGGCTTCATTCATAATTGTAATGAGACAAGTTCGATGTTAGAAGACTTAAGTCAAAATCACCATTCCCACATTATCGGAGCATTAGTCAAGAACTCTCGCTTCTATTACCGATGTCGTTCATCTATGTTGCTTCGAGTCTTTTACCGTACATTAGTAATTTATTTGAATTTCGGCATTTAATGTCTACATAGAGCAACACATATAGAGGACCTCGTTGCGGAATTTATGTTTGAGTGTTAAAAAAGTGAGTTATTTGCTGCACTGTATTCGTTTAAAGTTTGTGATAAATTTTGAACTGAAACATTGTTGTAAACTGAAATTTCAGTGGCAGCGAGAATTAAGTCAGAGGGATTGTGATTGTTCTGCTACGTAAGCGATTGAGCTGATTACTAGGTGGAGGAGCGTTTACAAATATGTTCAAACAGTGGACTCGCTGCGGTCATGATTGGTCAGGAGCTGCAAATATGCTTGAGTTAGAGACGCTGGGATTTGAAGAAATTACTTTGACAAGGCGATCATAAAGGAAGCATTTATAATGACATTCCATCAGTTTTTTTTGGTATCAGTTTTAGTTTTGGTCTTGTTATTTGTATATTTTTGGTTAGTATCGGGTTGTATCGAGTGAGGAGCCTATCTCGTAGAGGAATTATACATTTTTGCCTTATTTTACCTCACCGACAGCTCATTTTGTTCTGCGTCACAAGTTTCCTGGGGTGAATACTGAAAGAACCATCATTATAAGATAAGCTACATTTTCTGTGTCGATTGTGAAGGTTTATACTTATTATGAAGCTTGCAGCGGAAGAATGATTTGGGAGAGGAGACATTGTGTTTGAGGAGCCTGGTTGTAAATCCAGAGTTTCCTTAAATGTCGTAAAAATATTGTTATTTTTTTACCAATATTTTGAAATTTCCTTTTTATTTATTGTAGTTGCTGCTGATTTTTGTTAGCTACTCATTTTCTCTCTCTACTGGCATGGATTAGTGTAAGTTTTCTGTCTATTATTTTATTTCTTTTTGTCAGAAAATTATAAAGTGACCCTTTCTTGAGGAATTTGTCTTTCATTCATTTCATTTTCTGTTTTGGTGATTTGTAGAATTTTGAAAAATTTGGTCTAGAAATTGATTTAAACAGAAGCTGTTCTCCAACAAACCGGTTGAGCGAGTCACAACTTTTGAAATTTGGATATGGTAAAGGATCATTCACCTTACGAGACGCTGGCCGAGGCAGAACTGCGGGATGAGTCTTTGACTTGGAAGCTGAAGGGGGTTTTGAAGCGCGTGTTGAAGAATTGCAGGAAACGGAGCAAAAGGAAAGAATGAATTTAACATGCCGGGACAAATTACAAGAGCGCCTACGAAAGCTAGTATGAGGCAGTATATTTGGAACTGTCTAGCACGAGGCTTCAACACCACCAAGCGAGAAGGATAACTGAGAATTACAACGTTTTGGGAGACGGGTTTAAAGACAGCATGGACATAATCCAAATGCCTATCACTTCACTGGAAGGGCAGTACGCGTAATAGCCAGCAGGGACTAACCAGAGGACACATGATGGACGTAAATATTAGAAGAAGGTGTATCAGCACACAGCTGACAGCGCGGAAGGTCTAGAAGCAGGCCTACAGACCGCAAGCAATTTTCAGAACACTTCGCTTTAAAGAACAAGATTAAAGCGTTGAAGGCTTGGCAGTATGAAAGAAGTATGTGTGCAGCCGCTCCCAGTGCGTCATTTCATCTTGAAACTCATAGAATAAAGATAGGAATTCCTTCAGTTATCTCAACTTTAAAACGACTGTAAAATATGGCCAGTATTTTGGCTGTGCTTCGAGACAGCAGTAGAGATACAGCACCTTCATAGACTAAAAAGTTAACTTGTTTACTGTTGTTTCTCGAAGCCTGAGGAGGTGATAAGAGAACTGGAGGTATTGACAAAAAAATAGAAGTAGGAATTGATAAAGAAGTTTGTTTTAACAGCGAGGGCAGAAGTGTCATTGCTTAGACAGCTAAAATCTCTCCAGCCAGTCAAGAGAGAATAATAACAACTAGCAGGTAGCGTTTTTCAACTACTTATTTGGTGCTGTTGCCTTGTGACTATTATTAACCATTCGTGCCCCGTCCGAATTGTATAAATTATTCCAGGTTTCCCTTTTACTATCTCGTTTATTTTATGTCGAGGTGTTTAGGCGGTCTCGGGCTTTTCAGAAACCTTTGTTCAGAAACTTTTTTGAGTGAAATCTGGTTTTTGACACTGCAAAGAAAACTTTGGGGTCACGGTTTTTCGAATTAGAGTATGTTGAAAACTGCACTTTACAACTGGAGAGGAGAGGTGAACTGACGACAATACTCTTCATTTGAGAAACATTTGTGCAGAATGTGGGCTGCTTACTGCGGCGTACCTTCAGAAAAGCTGAATAATGAGCTT